AAGGACACTGGGACAAGGACTGCCCTTACTCTGGATCAGCATAAGCCATGGACACATGAATGATATGCGAGGCCCAGGGGACCACGACAACCAAGGAGCAGACTGACTGAACTCAAAGAATAGGGAGGTACATCAAAGAGTAATGAAAGGACAAGAGGACCAGCGAACTCTAGCTACACGTCGAAAAATGCAACACCAAGGAGCGACCAGCAGATGGACGACCGAGAGGACCAGATGTGATGAAAGCATCACAGGGGGGAATGGGATCCTTCTCCAATTGTTCAGTCTAAGGCAACTCTGAGAAAAAAAGTTTTTTAATTGTGATTTAAAGAAGGTGATAGTTTCAGCACTTTTACAGTGTTTGGGAGTTTGCTCATACTCCTTGAGCAATAGAACTAAAAGCTGCTTCTGCTGATTAATTCATTAATGAACACACTAACAGAGGTATTTTAAAGTCTATTCTCTGAGATATGGGAGTCAGTGGAAACACTTTAGAACTGGGCTGATGTTCTCCACTTTCTTAGTTCTATTGAGGATGCAAGCGGCAGCGTCTGGATCAGCTGCTGCTGTATGACAGAAACAACATATTCTTAGAATGATTCCATGTTGTAAATCCTGTAATCAGTGATCTGTTGTCAGAGTTCAACAGAGACAATAGAAGGAAGCTCTGATTGGAGATGTTCAGTCTTACCTGCTGCACAGCTGCTGTTATTGGCCATCAGCTGTCCAGCTCTGGTTCCATCTCTTTCTCCACGCTGAAGTTTGCTGCTCTTCCTCCGTCTGTGGAGACATTTCTTCATCACTGAAATAGTTCACTACCAACAGGGTGGGTCTGTCCTACTAAAACTGAGGATGTTCATGGAGGTCCATCACAAACACAGGATCAGAAGTTGGGTCAGAACCATCTCTTTGCTGTCTAACTAGTTTCTGTCTCTCACTGATCCAAACTGGGATGAATATTGATTCTTCTCTTTTCAAATCAGATGGACACAACACCCAAAACTCCAAAAAGAGGAAATCCATCATCAGGCAGAGGGATACCTGATGCAGTAGGGAGTCCTTTGACTGCTAGGAACAGACCATCCTCAGACGACAGGAGTCCAAATTGTCCCTCCAAGAAATCATGTGCAAGATTTGAAATGGAAAAATAAAATGCTTAACTTTTGACTTAGTGTTGGATCATAGCACTGCAACATCTTTAAAAGTTACGCTTTTTATTTTTCAATATATTTATTCTTTTTATAGAGCAACCTTTTACCTGGTTTTGTTTGCAGACAAATGAAGGATGAACAAAAAAATATAAGGAAACCCACCAAAACCACATAAGCAAAAGGAATATTATATAATAGATTCTAAGAACCATCAGACCATGATATTGTTCAGTTAATCACACAGTTACACTGTGAAGGAATCTTCTTCTTCTATAGTGACTATTTTTGTTCCTAGTGCCTAAACCCATATTCTATCAGTACTTACAGAACTTTCTTCAGGTAATCCAGCAGCTTCTCCCCTGAATCTTGGAGGTCGTTGTTCTCCAGGTCAACCTCTCTCAGACAGCAGGACTCAGAGCTAAGAACTGATAACAGAACTTGACAAGTTCTCTTTGAGAGGTTACAGGATCTAAGTCTGAGAAACAAGTTAAAGAAGAAAAAACAGATGTTATTTGGATAACATTTTTTTTTCTCCATCCACAAACAGTCAGGATGATCAAAGTTTGTTTTGATAAAAATTTAAACTCTA